TCAGCCTCCCGAGTAGCTGGGACTACAGGCGTGCGCCACCATGCCCAGCTAATTTTTGTATTTTTAGTAGAGACGGGGTTTCACCATGTTGACCAGGATGGTCTCGATCTCTTGACCTTGCGATCCACCCGCCTCGGCCTCCCAAAGTGCTGGGATTACAAGCGTGAGCCACCACGCCCGGCCTCATGTTTGAAGTTTTAATAGAAAATTCTTGCTAACACTGAAAACAACTCTGCCTTCCTGTAATAACTTCCAGCCCTTGGTCTTAGGTTGCTCTCTTCACATGCCAGTCATTTAAGCATTTGAACCAGTACCATGTCTTCCATTCCTCCAAAATCAAGGCCTCATTTTTATTTTTGTTCTAATGCTTGGCACTTTAACATCTCCCACAATAGCTGGTGTTATATATCTCCTTGCCCAGTTATCTACCTAGCTCTATTGCTTTTACGGTGGATGGAGCCTGACCAGTATCACAGAATCTGTTTCATGTATGGACCTTGCCTCCCTGTCTATTCTCAGTGTGCTGGATAATTCAGACATATCATCTCCCCATTTAGCTCTTTAAGTCTTACATATCCCATTTGGACTACAGCCTTGCTGTGTCTCCCTTCTCCAACTCATGCCCATCAACATAATCGCAACCATATTTTCTGGGAGAAGAATTATGAAGCCAAATTTTAGTAAGGCAAACAATTTGTCTTTAGATATGGTTTGAAGACTTTTAAAAACACTAAAGAAAACTCCAGAAAGTATACAAAGAATAGAAACCAAACACAACCTTGGTGGTAAAGAAGAGGACAATTTGCTCACAAATCAATACTGACCAGCCTTATGATAACAGCAATCTAAATTTGGAGATTCATTTGTGCAGTTAGTTCATTTGGATAGAACATGATATTTACATAAAACAATGCCATAATTAAATAGGTCTATGAGTCAGATAGTTTTGTTCATTTCACTAACTGGCATGCCCAATGATAAAGGTCTAACTAGCTCAACAAATTATGCTATTGGTCTCAAGGGTAACAAGATTGCTGAAATAACTCAGAGTATAGTCTTCTGCTAATGAGTATCATATTGTAGCATAAATATTTCTTTATATGTCTGTCTGCCTCATTTAACTGGAAACTTTCAGGGATAGGGACATATCTTCAGCATTTCTGGGCCCAGCAGTTGGCAGAGTGCCTGTAATATAATAAAGCTTCCAATAAACTGATATTATATTGAGCCAACATGTGAAGCAAGATATATTTTAGTTGTTTCTAAATCAATTTGGTATATCTGTATATTTTTTGACTTATTTTCACATGCAAAAGAAATTATTTTACATTTTAGAATGTTACCACATTGTACTTTAATTTATTAACGTATGTGTTAATTCATTTTGTAATATTAATCTTGCTTATGTTCAAAGTCTCTGAAAAAATTGGTTTAGATAGTTTATGCAACTTTAGTTTTTGCAGTAAAATAAATGGAAAAGTTAATCAAACGCATTTTTTTAGAGTGAAATTGCATTATACAAGTGCACTGCCCACCTTTGGAGAGCATGTATATATTATAGTTGACTATATAGTTGGATCTTGAAAGTGAAATTATAGATTCAGAGTCATTTATTCACTTAATTTTTTAATGCTTGGGGAGTATTTATTTTCAGTTAATTCTCATATTTAATTCTATGTTTCTTTTCAAAGGCAGTAATGGATAAAACAACGACTACAAATTTCCTATTTATCCTACAATAGTATAATAGCTTCAATGACCTTTTTCCCATTCAGGCAGGGGAATAGTGCCCAAAGCTATTCATATTGCACACACAGCTTACTTTATTTCTCTGTTAGTGGAATGTGGGGTTTTGCATATGCTGTGAGAACTAAAATTAGCATTTTTGAGGTCCATGTTAACCATATGAACATGTAGTAAAACATTTCAATTCTATAAAATAATTAAAAATGTATCTCAGAAAAAATATATATTGTCTGTATTTATTGTTATTACAAATAAAAGAGGTGGAGAAAGGCAAATGCCAGGATTCTCATTTTCTTGCCTCTCCTTTCCCAGGTGTTCTGGGTTTCTGAGCGGCTTTAATGGTCTCAGGAGTACTAAGGGTGTGATGGTGAAGGTGGAGGATTATCAAAATGGGCTTCTGTAGCTGAGATATGTCCAGCAACATAGATTTCGAGGTGGAAAACTAGGACTGAAATGAATAGAGTGACAACCAGTCTTCAGGTAAGTCACAGGTGGAGAGAGATCTCCAGGTCCTGACTGAGCTAAGAACAGACCAAATGTCCACGTGCCGCTGATGACTGCAGCAGAAGCTAGCCAAATCTGCAGAGGCAGGAACTTCCCAATCCTGCCTCACTGGACACCAGGCACACCAGGCATACCAGTCAGCTGCCAGGCTATGAACCTATCTACTTCATATACTCAGATGCTCATGGGAGGAGCCAGTGAAGGAGTCAAAGTCTGAGAGACTAAGTAGTACCTCAAAAGGGCTTTTAATGTGTGTGCATTGGACGGATG